TGAACGGGCCTAAATAACTGCGTTTGAGGAGCGTGTTATTAGCTATTTGCTTGTTATATCCTTATTTAAAGCCTTGTATCCACAATACTAGAAATTGCTCCAAGATCTCGAACGGTGAAACAATTAACCAATCGTATTTAATTGGTCGAATTAGTTAAATATGCAATTGGTTATGTCTTTCTCCATACAATATCTCGACATTATTAACGCTAATAGCTTTTCCCTTGAATGTGCCCAAAGATCCATATTCATAGGTCGGTATTCATAGGTGGATCTTATATTTAATACCATCTTAAGTACTGAAGATAGTTCATATTTAACTCTTTCGCTGACGTAGCGATTACTTCGTGAGCAACTGTCATTGCAGCTGTTATTTAGTCATTTTGTAACAATAATAATAATATTTACGTATGCAAAAAATCTTTGTGTGTGAATATAAGATACTGGTAAGTTTCAAGCTTACTTTTTCTATAAAATACATTCTTATTTATATATGTAGTATTTATACAAACATATATATATATATATATATTTATCTTCTCAATTTATATATGTATTCTAGACAACACCGTATCCAAAATCTGGATATAAGACGTTTTAAAGACATTATTAAGACGTCTAAGGCCGGTATTCAGAGTCGGATTTTATTTTAAGACCATCTTGAGTAATGTCTTAAGACGCTAATACGGCTCTGTGATTAGTTCATGACATCTTAGAACTGAACTTACAGGTATTTATTATTATATATATGTGCATATTTGCATGCGTACGTGTAAGAAAGTATATATATGTATATGTATACGTGCGTACATGTACATGTATGTATAATATGTATACGTGTGTGTACATATGTGTATACGTCACCGTCCGCATTTGTATATACGTACATGTGTGTGTATATACATGTGTGTATGTGTATAAGTATGCGCGCGTATACATAATAATAATAAACAGTAAAAATAAGAATGTTACGGCAAATGTGAGTCAAGTGCTGTACGTGATGTGCAAAATAAATAATTGATGCGATGCTTCAAATATGTTTCGGCTCTTCCTTTGAGCCATCTTCAACTTTACAACTTACAAAGTACATACATGCGTGGACAGAGGAGCGTGTTCCACAGGAATCAGAGAGGGGGAGGGAAACAGACCTCACTTTTTCAGCCCCCTATACGGGATGGACCTTTCTTCAACTTACAAGTATGTGCTTTGTAAGTTGAAGCAAGTTTTCTTTCCTGAATCCTGTGAAACACGCTCCTCTGTCCACGCATGTACTTCGTAAATTGTAAAGCGAGATTTGTTGCCTCCCCCAACCCCTGCGGAATACGCTCCTCTGTCCACGCATGTACTTTGTAAGTTGTAAAGCGAGGTCTACCTCTTCCGACCCCTGTGGAACATGTCCCTCTGCTGACGCATGTACTTTGATATATCGCTCATATATATATATATATATATATATATATACACACACACACCCATACAACACAAAATATTTTTAAAATATTTTTTAGAAAGATTAAAACAATTTACAAAAATATTTTTAGAATGTTTCTATATCCGCCAGATCATGTCAGAAAAATATTTTCAAAAATATATTTTTAAAAGATTGCAAATAAATATATTCAATAATATTTGTAAAATCTTTTAGAAATATTGCTTCGAAAAATAAAATATGTTTGATCCAATCAGGGTAAATCAATTATGGCTTGAAGGAAGAGCCAAAACGTTCAACATATTTAAAGCATTGTATCAATTATTTATTTTGCCCGCCAAGTACCGTGTTTTACTTGCATTTGCCGTGATATCTTTATTTTGACATTTTTAAGAGTCTAATTATATACATAAACAGTAAACGCACAATAAGTATAATTTTAATAATCTTATTATTCGTTTAATCAAAAATATTAATATGATAAAATTTCTTTGTTTCAGGTACTTGAAGTAGGAACAGAGCTTAATTTAAAGGATTTTTAGTTATTATCTATTATTATCTATTAATACAATATAATTAATATTAATATAAATCTAATTATTTTCATTTAAATTACAGTTATTTTTTATTATTATACAAAATACTATTATTAACATAAATTATTATATATTATAATTATTGCATTAATTTAATTATATAGATAGTATTAACATAATTTTAATTACTCTCATTTAAATTATTACACTTATTGCTATGATAATTAAGTATTATTATATTAAATTAATTATTAGATATATAATTTAAAAAATTGTATTTTTTAATATTATAGTCTTTGTTTTAAACAAAAATATAAATTTTATGTATTTAAAACTATAATATTATTCAAATAATATCTTATATATATATAATAATGTAATACTATGTTATAAATATATATTAAAAGAATTATATTTGTGATTGATGATGATGATGATGATGATGATAATGACGATGATGATGATGATGATGATAATGTTGATGATGATACTGATGATGATGATAATGATAATGATGAGACTATATTAATGATGATATTGATAATGATGATGATGATGATAATGATGATTATGATGATGATGATGATGTTGATAATAATGATTTAAACTTATATTTCAACTTAACATAAATATATTATATTACATAATAATAATATATTATATATTTTTACAATATATTATTAAAATTTAAAGAAAGTAAGTTTTAAAAACTGTATTTTAATAACTAATAATGGTAAATTATATTTATTTTTTAATTATGATTTAAACTTACATTTAAACTTAACATATATCATATTAAATAATAATAATATATTGTATATTTACAATTATTGTTAAGATTTAAAGAAAATCAGCTTTAAAATTTTATTTTAATAACTAAGTTATATTAATTTTATAATTATTATTGTATATTTGTATTTTTGCAAAATGCCAAAACGTAAAATAGAACGAACCTCGGAAGAACAAAAAGAATTTCAACGAAGACGTCGTGAAAAAAATGCTGAGTATCAATCTCGTCAACGTCGTAAAATTACAAAAGTAGCAAATAATATATCAAACTCAAATAATGATACAAATTATACTGTTAGTATCGCTGGTACAATACATGACAATCGTATAATAGAATTAAATCATGAAATTGAAGAAAATTCTTCAGATGTAACATTAGCACACCAACAAGTTTTTAACATTTCTGGCACAATACATGATAATCGAGTTATAGAAATGAATGAAGAAATAATTGGGGAAAGTTCTGTAAATATTATACCAATACGTCAGCAACGTCATGTAGAATATCAATCCCATTATCGATCTCAAAGAAGACAACTACATCGTTTAGATATTAATCGAATGCCAATTAATGATATAAATGAATATTATATTGGTTCTATGGATGTGTCTTGTGTTCATTGTAGAGCAAAACATTTTGCAGCTGAAAAAGTATCTAACAAAGGAAATTCATTTCACGATTGTTGTAATCACGGTGCGGTGTATTTAGAACCATTGCCTCAATTTCCGCAATTTCTTCGTAGTTTATTTAATGGTAGTCATGCAAAATCAAATAATTTTTTCAAACATATCCGTAGCTACAACAGTTCATTTTCATTCGCATCATTTAACGCTAATTTGGT